AAGATAGATAGATAGATAGATAGATAGATAGATAGATAGATAGATAGATAGGGTGGGTGGTTCATGCCTACCCTCCTGAAGACTTTTTGTTCCTTGAGTTTTCATAGTCAAATACACAATAACTATTTAGGAGAATGAACTACTTTAATTATAGAAATTCCAAAGCAGAGTTCTTAATATAACCCTTTCCCTTATTTCTCCCTACAGATACTTCTGCAGCTCTGTTCACTAGCACTATAGAGTTCATAATTTATGAGATCCAAGTCAGAGTGATTGACAACAGTGGCAGAAGCTGTCAAAGGCCACTGGTAGTTCCTCTGCAAGCCTGTCGTTGTGATCATAATGGAATGTGTGTCAATATGGCTACTAGGAGAATCAAAGTTATAATTGTTGGTGGAGGAACGGCTGGTGGAGGAACTGCTGGTGGAGGAATAGGTGGTGGAGGAATAGGTGGTGGAGGAACAGGTGGTGGAGGAACAGGTGGTGGAGGAATGGCTGGTGGAGGAATGGCTGGTGGAGGAACGGCTGGTGGAGGAACGGCTGGTGGAGGAATGGCTGGTGGAGGAACAGGTGGTGGAGGAACGGGTGGTGGAGGAATGGCTGGTGGAGGAACGGCTGGTGGAGGAATGGCTGGGGGAGGAATGGCTGGGGGAGGAATGGCTGGGGGAGGAATGGCTGGGGGAGGAATGGCTGGGGGAGGAATGGCTGGGGGAGGAATGGCTGGGGGAGGAATGGCTGGGGGAGGAATGGCTGGGGGAGGAATGGCTGGGGGAGGAATGGCTGGGGGAGGAATGGCTGGGGGGGGAACAGGTGGGGGGGGAACGGGTGGTGGAGGAATGGCTGGTGGAGGAACGGCTGGTGGAGGAATGGCTGGTGGAGGAATGGCTGGTGGAGGAACAGGTGGAGGTGGAGGTACAAGTGGTGGTGGTGGTGAATTTGGAGGTGGTACTGACACTGGTACTGGAGGTGATGGTGGTACAGGTGATACTGATAACCTGCATGGTGGCATTGCTGGACATACTATTGACCTAGGAGGAACAAGGGAAACCGGTGGAGAAACTTCTCTTAGTGCTGCTGCCATTGCCCTGATGTTTCTTGGAGGATTAATATTTGTGTGTAAGTATTCTAGAAGGACAGATTTATTCCTGATTTTTAAAAAAATTATTGTGTTTCACATATAATAAGACCTTTGGTCTCTTCTATTCAAAATTTTGTGGCAACATCTAATGGTTCTATAAAATATGCCTTTTGATTCCCATTAATTAGGGAGGAATTATTGAAAACATTTCTGTTTACATGCCTAAAACTTTGCCTTAGGGGGTGACTAGTAGGATAGGCTGACAACACTAGAATGTTGCTATGAACCTTGTCTCAACTTCTCCATGCAAAAAGAAAAAAACTCTCAGTTAAAAAGTGTTCTGCTCATGACGTCCATCTTTGGAACCTTGAGATGCATCATCTGTTGAATGGAAATGAACATGCTGATAATATTTCATTTCAAAGGTCTTCAAGTCTTAACATTATTATCCTGAAAAATGTTTGTTCATTTATTTAAGAATGTGATTGTGACTTTCAAAGCAAAAATTTCCCAAGAGCAACCCAAAATTTCCCAAGAGCAATAACCCAAAAAGCAGCAAATCAAATAATTAAAATGATCAATAAAAAGAACTTCAAAAGCTTTAGACAACAGATATAAAATGACTAAAACACTGTACTATGAGAATTAAAATTTAAAAAGTACATGCCTAGCATCAAAAAGCAGCAATGTCGGTGCCAGGTGTGCCTCTCCAAGAAAAGCATTCCAAAGTTGGGGGAACACAGCTGAGAAAACTGTGCCGAAACATCTACTCAGCGCAGCTCAACCTGTAAGGGTACCTGGAGCAAGAGCCTCCCAAAATGATTATAGGGCTTCAGTAGAAATAGTAGACTAGAAATAGACTGGTCCCAGGTTATTGTGTGTTTCCATTTATATAAAGGTCAAATATTCAGTCTACTGATGAAAAGTATGTTACTTTTTCTTTTGTTTGGTTTCCAGTGGTACCAATTCTGATGTCACAGAGTGATTGTTGTGGTTATCTTGGATCCAGACATGCTGGTGGAGTGGGAGCTGGATTTGAGCCTGTGCCTGAATGCACAGAAGGAGCCATCCACTCCTGGGGAATTGAAGGAGCCCAGCCTGAAGATCGGGTTAGTTCATCACTGAAATACACATAGACACAAGCATATTCCCATGTGTCTCCATGCAGATACATACTATTTCAGTGTCTACCAACTGGTGCCCTCCAAATGCATTAGGCCAAGTCCCCACAAACCCCAACCACCAAGACCAAGGGCTAGTAGTTGACTACAGGAAATCTTTACCCCTTCCTAGACCAGGGAACCTCTTTGCCACTACCCATCAGTGGTACTCTTTCATTTTTTTTCATGACCTAGGAGGCCAATCTGCACCCTGTTAAGAAAGAAGAGGGGAGGCTGCCTTTCCTTCCCATTGCTTTATCACTGACATACACTCAGAAAAAGACAGGGGAATAGGCAGAATCAGCAAGGAGGAGGACCAGAAGGGATAATTAGTGATGGACCCACTATTTGGATATGGACCTCAGCAGGTACCCTGCTATCCCAGCCAAAGAAAAAGTTGTCCTCAAGTGTCAGCTGCACTAGGTAGACCAGACCAGGAAATCAATCCCAAGAAGGCTAACGCTACTTTTACTGAGATCAGTATAATAACAGAATCTTGCAAGTCTGGTTGTGCTGTACCTTCTCCTCCTCCTTATAGTTCAGTGAATTAGGGAAGCATCTGACTAACTTGCTTCCAAATGTTATTTTGTTCTGGACTTTAAAAATGTTTTAGTCCCTTTTGTCTTAGGGAACAGATCCTGCATATCTCTGTCAATGTTATCTTCCTTACTCTACATCAAATCAAGCCCCACACATGGTGACTCTGTGAACCTAACATGCAGGGTTTTTTGACAACTTTACAGTAGTGGTTTGCTGTTGCCTTATTCCAGGATGGTTTTGCCCTAGTGGTCTCCCATCCAAGTACTAATCAGGTCCAAATCCTGATAGCTGCCAAGCCAAGATCACTTATGTGCTGACACCAAACTGAACTGATCCATTGGCAGTACTGCACACAGGCAGACAGATTCTATAATCAAACTAAGACATATATGCATGCAAATCTAAGGTCTTGTTTGTACCAATCTCACTAACAAAGACTATTACTTTCCATTACATTTGCAGTTCTCCTAATCAGAGCAAAATAATATCTATCTTAAATTTATGTTTCTTATTAAAAAGTATATATTAATAAGTTAACTTGGGCTTTCTTTCCAGGATGTTTCAAATATCTGTTCACCAGTAACTGCTGCAAGTAAAGGGGAGTTTGCAGACTCTTCAGGTAAACAAAGTAAATTTTAACTGACAAATTATGGTAATTGATGGGGATAGAAATGACAGTAAAGTGGAGGAGTAAATTTGTCCTCACCCTTCTACATGTTAATTCTTATCATTTATGGAAATAGAATCTCTGTGTGGACCCATGGGAATTTCACATAGCTACAAAAATTGTTATACAAAGATCATCTACATAGCAGCAGAGTACTGTATGTGTTGCCTGTTATACCACTTAGATTGTAATATTCACAGCATCTCCATGGAAATTGGGCCTTCACTGTTTTACATTCATCTTTGCATTGATTAATTCATTAGACAATTGATCACTACTGTTCTTTGAATCCATCATGTATCATCAACATCATCACCAACACTATAATTATTATCATTATCACTGTTTTATGATGGTTCTCCTCCTTTCTCTGTGGCTGATTCCAATTGGTATTGACAGGTAGGGAGAGATCTTGCCCGCAGCCCCTTACTTTTTGGGTGCCATATGGCTTCACACTTTCTCCCCTTCTGTTCACATGAAAATGCTGGGTCATCTGCCAGTCTGCAGTCAGGTATCACTGATATGCAGATGATGCCCAGTTATATAACCTGGTTGTCTGAGTGAGTGACCCAGTGACTGGAAATGATGTGGGTCTGAATGGGGAGGAACAGACACAGGCTCAATCCTGACAAGACTGAGTGGCTGTGTCTATTTGGATCCCATTGCTGACTCTCCATTGCTGACTCTCCATGGGGCTGCACTTCCCCATCTGAGATGTATGCAATTTAGGGGTCCTCTTGGACTCTCAGCTCCTGCTCAAGGAGGAGGTGGAAAGTGTGGTCAAGAGGGCCTTTACACAGGTACATGTAGTGTGCCAATTGCACCCTTTCCTGGGTTGGGAATCTCTTCAGACAATCACTCATGTCCTAGTCACCTCACAATTTGATTACTGTAATGCACTCCATTTGGAGCTAGACCACCCAGAAGCTACAGCCAGTCCAGAATGTGGCAGCACAGGCAATAATAGGGGTATCATGTTATGTGCACATCACTTTGCGGCTTTGCAAGCTGCACTGGTTACTAATAGGCTTTGGGGTACAATTCAAGGTGCTGGTTATCACCTTTACAACCCTTTGAGGCATAGGGCCTGGCTACCTGAGAAATTGCCTCTATCCAGTCATCTCTTCCCATCTGATTGGGTCCAGCAGAGTGGGTGTACTCTGGGTCCCCTCAATTAAACAATATCATCTTGCAGGACCCAGGAATTGTGCCTACTCTGTTTCAATTCCTGCCCTCTGGAATGATCTCCCCCGAGAGAGTTGTGTGGCTCCCACCCTTATATTCTTCAGGAAACCTTTGAAGAGCTAGTTATTCTCCCAGGCCTTGGGGGCAGGGTGATTGTAGAACCCCTTTTTGTCCTTTTGTTTTGAATAAATTAAATAAATAAATCATCATCATCATCAGAAATCTACACAACTAAATATGGTGATGGAGGAATGGTGAGTTCAGGAGTTGAAGAAACAACAGGACTTGGAGCAATAAAAGGCTATGGAGCTACAGCTGGTTATGGGACAACTACAGGCTATGGGACAACAGGACGGAAGGAGACATTTGGAGGAATAAAAGAATACCGAGAAAGTGGTGTGAATATGGCTTTCCTAGACAGCTACTTCTCTGAGGTAAACCATTTCCTTATTTTCTGTAAGTCCTCACATTGACCAAGGACCTTTCCCCAGGCATCATCCTCATCATCCTCATATATTAATAAATTGAGGAAAAGCCTTTTGCCAAAGCCCTAGTTTTTGCACCAGTTAGTAACAGCAAACAGGGCAGAATCTAATACTACTACAGGTAGTCCTCCCTTAACAACCACAGTAGGGACCTGAAAATTGGTCGTTAAGTGGGGCAGTCATTAAGTGAGTCACTATGTGACTGGACTGATTTTATGATCATTTTTACGACAGTTGTTAAGCAAATCATTGTGGTTGTTAAGCAAATCACATGGTCATTAAGCAAATCCAACTTCCCCAATGGACATTTTTTGCCGGAATTTGCTTAACAATCACCTGATCCACTTAATTACATTATAAAAAAACTTGCAAATCGCAATCATGTGACTGCAGAGGGTGGTGCAACGGTTTGCAATGGTTGTAACTGTGAGTACAGATCGTAAACCATTTTTTCCAAGGCCATCATAACTTTGAATTGTCATTACACGAACAGTTGTTAAGTGAGGACTACTGTATTACATTCTTATAGTATTTTGGAAGCAAAACATGTAATTCATTCAGTTGAAGTTTAGATTATGAATTAGGGAATCTAAATTAAGTTTTGATTCTACATACTTGTATTTCTGCATCCTACTGGTAATAGGATTCCTTGTTTAATTGCTAACTTTGGCAAATATGAAGTAGTACTTTCATTTCACTTGAGGACACCCACTTTTTTCCATACTCTTCCCCAGTTAATTAACAAAGTTTAATAGCAAAACAGAATTTTGTCATAGTTTGTTTAAACAACCTATGGTTAAAAAGCCATCATGCCCCGATTGTACATAATGAGGAAAGTTTTCCTCCTCCCTCCTTTGGTGCAACTAAACTTGAGTTTCAGTGATCATGTGAATTTATAACCACACTAACAGTCTAGACTGGGACTAGGTTAAGACTGCTGAGGTTTTGCTTTATTTTTTGCATTTGTTTCTTTAAAACACACACACACACACACACACATAAAAGATGGTAATCTTTATACAGTACCTATCAAAATATGGAGAATGGTGATAAGTAACTATTACAAATATTTCTTTAGGGTTCTGTTCAGATGTATGACAAGCCTAAACTGTGTTATGCAAAATAATGGTGGTGATGCATAGTGTCCACAATTTGCAGTATTTGACTTTCCTTGGTGCAAAATTGGAAGTGCCTCTATTCAGTATCAAAGAAAGGGCAAATTATCAATTTATCAAATGGGGCTGTGCAGCACTTTGGATTCAGTTTGAAGCAGCTGCTTCAGGGTATGCCAACATAAAACCTGTCTGCACCTCCTTAAAGCAGCCCTGCTTTTTCCAAGGATCCCTGAGCAGCTGCAGAGGGCAGAGGTGGGATCCCATAAAGGACACAGCAGCTACACAACCCTTTTTGGAAGGAGCAGCCATTCCTAAGGGAACTATGTACAAGATGAAAATATTGTGCTTTGTGACACAAAATGTGGGGGGGGATTATGCTTGTCTTGGCAGATGGAAGGTGTCTCAATAAATCTAAGTGGCCCTTCCAGTTTTATAACTGATATCCAAGATAATCACCCTGCTTTTACGTAGTTATTTTCTTAGATAATGTTTTGATAATCCCTCTCATGTTAATGATAAACAAGAATGCTAATTCTGTCTTGTTTATTCATTTTTAGAAAGCATTTGCCTATGCTGATGAAGATGAAGGCAGACCTGCAAATGACTGTCTCCTAATATATGATCACGAGGGTATAGGCACTCCTGTTGGTTCCATTGGCTGTTGCAGTTTTATTGGGGATGATCTGGATGATTCCTATCTGGATACACTGGGTCCTAAGTTTAAGACCTTGGCAGAGATCTGCTTGGGAATAGAGATTGAGCCCTTCCCAGATGCCAACATGCCTCTGCCCAATCCTGATATTGAGGTAAATCTGCCACCACCTGGAACCACGATTGTTGTTAACACATCTTCATCTATGCCTCAACCTACTGCTGTTGGTGGTACAACAGTTGTTACAGAAAATACCTACACAACTACTTCCAATATACAGCCTCCAAGGCCAATACCTGATCCTATGCTCCATGGTAACGTAGTGGTGACAGAAACATACACTTCAGGGTCAACAATGAAACCCCCCACAATCAGTGTTGATCCTCTGGGTGGATCAAATGTTGTGGTCAGAGAAAGAGTGCTTGCTCCTGCCACAGTCACTGATATGCATGGCATGATAGATATTCCCGAGCTACCAGATGGGTCAAATGTTGTGGTCACAGAAAGGGTAATCGCTCCTAATTCAAGGTTACCTGCTTCTTTGAGCATTCCCAATCTGGCAGAAGGGTCAAATGTAGTTGTGACCGAAAGAGTGATTCGACCAGCTGCTAGCTTGCATGGCAATATAAGCGTCCCTTCTGACATATCAAATGCACGCAATGTGGTTGTAACAGAAAGAGTTTTGTCTGGAACAGGAGTGAGTGGTGGCACTGGGACTCTAAGTAGTGGTCCTAACCCACTGCTGGCTTCTGATAATCTTCTTAGTCAGGCAATTGGATCTGCTTCCCCTGGTACAACTCGAAGAAGGGTAACAAAATACAGCACTATACAATATTCTAATTAGTAAAGATCACTGGCAGCTATATGCTCTTGCAAAACTCCCCCCCCCCATTTTTTAGATTTGCTGCTAAATAATGTTTTTATTATTTATAGACAGCAAATCAAAAATCAGAGAAAAATGATTCTTGCCTGAAACAGAATCTCCTAATGCTATTTAGTTATAAACCGAATTATAGGGGCACTGCCAATGTAAGAAAACTCTGATTATTATTATTTTTTTTGGAAACATGATAGTGTACATAATGGAGGAATCACTGACAGAGTCTTTTGTATATATTTGCTGTTGAGCAATATTGGACCATCATATCACTTCTTTGTACTTACTAACATCATGGTAAGGAAAAGCAACTGTGATCAGTGATTTATATGAACTGTTAAGTTCTGGAATTCTTTACCATATTTTAAAGCAGTTGCATAGAAGCTGTTCCAAATAATAATTCCATAAATCAGGCATAATTTAGTTTCATCTTAAAGCAGTTAGGCAGCACAAGCAACTAGACAAAAAAGTGCCATCAGAAAAACATGGCAAATATTAATTCTGTATGTCTGAATAAGACCTTGTGTGAATTACAAGCAATCAATATAGCAGTCCTTAAGAGTGACAATATTTTGCTGTAACAGTAGAAATGTACAGGATGTTATCAGATTTAAGCAGCGTATCATGTATTGTGAAAGTATTTGTGAATGGACGTGGTGCTTCATCTAAATTTCCATTTCAGTCATTACAATCTTATGATCAAGTGTCTGACTACAAAGTCTTCCTATCCATAGAAACTACCCTATTCATGAATCTGTTAGCTCTTTCAGATGTCTTAAATTATGCAAACACATTATATTGTTCTTGACCAGCTTTCTATTCCACATTAAATCTGGACTGAAAAAAAAATACATAAATATAGCAAGCAACAACTCATCCTTCCTTGATTATGCAGAGATAAAGGTGCTATATATCTTTTAAAAGGAAATTTGAATACCAAAATATTCTTCTCCCCAAAATAAATAAATAAGATCTTTAAATGTTTAAACCGCAAATGCTGAGCTATTAAAATATAGAAAGTACAGACCTCATTGGTCAGAATCAAAAAGCTATTTTAGACATAGAATTGACAGGAAAGTGGTAGAAATTTGAACCTATTCATTTTTCAATAGCAAATCACAATGCCTTATTGCAACTCACTCTCTCTATTGATACACAATTGTGAAAATAAAAAACATTCAAATAAAAGACTACAGATGATTTTCCATCAGTTTCTAAATTAATTTCACTCTAACAAAATCCTGCTGTTTGAGAGCAAAAGCTCATAACGATGTTTGGCATGAAAAAGTAACAACATGGTTCTTTGGAACCTGACCTCCATGTTTTAGTTATGTACCATATGTAAACTAAAAGTAGCTCCAATATAGAGAATACACTCTAATGTAAATATAGTTGTTAAACACAGGGAATTTTTCCCCACCAGTTTATAGTAATGCATCCTCTTTACCTTTTATGTACACCATTAGTTTTGGTAGAGAATTCTATAGAAAAGTAAGGATATGGGTTTTCATGTCTACTCCCAGCGTTTAATTTCCTCCCCAATTTAACACACGTTGACCATCCCAAAAATACTAAATAAGATGTAAATACAAGAGCAATTTCTAATACATCTAGCAACTTTATCTAGTATCCACCCTTGGTTTTTCTATTGCAGAAAGCTTTACCTTCAGCTATTTTTTCCTACATTGAAAAACATGACAATGGAACCATAGCTTTAATTTGTTATTCTATCTTTTTTGGATCTGCCCAAAGCAACTTGAAACATTGCAAAATATTCAAAAATGTGCATATTGAAACTGTAATACTTTCCCCAAATATTCCTGGAAATCATGATTTCAGATATGAGACATCTTTCACTTACTTCCCCTAATTGCTAATTTGATTATTATGCCCTGTAATTATTTGATGAGATATTTACTATTATGTAATTATCTAATGACACACCCATTTTATATTTATGTAGAAATCACCCTCGTTGATACTGTATTTTTCCACAGTTCAAGTATGAAAAGTTTTATGCCTATAGAAAATTAACACCTATCTTTTAATTAAAATCTCTATTTGGTTCTTGAGCTCAGCAGCATGCATGTGACCATGCTGGTGTTGCAATGCTGCAACGCTGTTTATGTTATCTGACCCACTCCCGTGCTCCCCCTATGAACATTGCTGCTTGAGCATGATTTGGTTATAGTAATATAGGCTAAAATCAATGTTATTAAGCAGCCATTTGAATCCCTCTGTTAAAGGGAGCACCATTTACAGTGGTACCTCTACTTACGAACGCCCCTACTTATGAAAATTTCGAGATATGACCAGCTCCAGCCCCAAAAATTTACCTCGACTTATGAACTTGCCTCGACTTACGAACCAGATCCGTGGCCATTTTCCGCCCGTTCCATGTGTTCTGCGGCCATTTTCGGCCCATTCCACGTGGTCCGCGGCCATTTTTCCGCCCGTTCCACGTGGTCCACGGCCATTTTCCGCCCGTTCCACGTGGTCCACGGCCATTTTC